TCATTATTTAGTTTGGAATAATCTTCTTAGTCCTTTTCAAGGCTGAGGATATCGATTAATATAATGGTATGAATAAATTAGCATATTTTCTTATGGCCTTTAGAATTTCATCTGGCGATTTCTAGCTTGATGATTTTCATAGTTAAGGAAATGGGTTGGTAATACTAACTTGGCTAATCTGGTTAATAGCAGTTATGACTTTGTATATAGTATTCATGAACTTCATAATAGCAGTGATTTCAGAATCCTATGAGAGAGTGATGTAAAAATTAATAGCAGAATCATACAGAGTTAAGGCTAATTTGACTGTTGAGAGGGAACAGTTTTTCAGTAGCGAAGATTTAAAAAGCACAAAATATTTCCCACAATACATTGTTGTTAGAAGACCATTAAATGCAGTGATAAAGGAAGATGGGGAGTGGTAAGGATTTATTAAAGACCTGAAGTATACTATAAGGACCACTGTAGCTAAATCTAAGGCAGATATTATTTAAAATTTACACCAACTATAAACTTAGAATAATCAGAAGCTAGATAAAATTGATGAAGTACTAGCTTTGCATTAAAAGCAATTTACTAATGATGGTCTGGATGAAAAAATTAAAATTTTGAGTGAAAAACATGACCAAGTCTGTGAGAGTAGCAAAAAAGATTTATAAATCCTAAAAACTGATTTAGATGAGCTAGCTATTGGTCTTGAACTACAAAATAAAGACTTTAATATCAAAGTTGATGGTCTTGATAAACAAGCTAAAGGACTTGATATTAAAGTTGCTAAAATTCAAGATGACATTGAATTCATCAAGAACTCCTTAACTTAATTACTTCCAAAATATAATCAGTGATATATTCCTGAATTTTGAAGATAAATCTTTAGTCTTTATGACTCAGTTTCACTGAAAATACAATTGTAATTGCTATTACATCGAGAAATTGAGATATACTAAAAGATACTTATTGAAGAAATATATTGATCCCTTAATTATTAGATTATATTTATTTCTTGAAACTTTGATTTCATAACTTTGATCTTATCTAATGGGGTTTTGGGGTTTTGGGGTTTTGGGG